CACATTATAACACCCCTACGGCTGAAAGGGAGAGCATGTTTGGTGGAGGGGATTCGAACCCGCGACTCTCAAATTGCGAGTCAAGCACTCTAGCCACCGGGGCATGCGCAAAGCTACACGAGAGCTAACTGCCCTAATTTGGAATTGATTAACTAGAAGGAAGACAGTGAACTGTAGCCAATTCTTAGGTTACTCTTATCTAACTGAATAGTGGGATTTGGCCGCTAATCTTATATCATATCTACAGCTCCAAAATGCGCGTTTTGGGGGCAATGGGTTACGAACCTTCAGATGTACAGTCCGAGCAATCTAGCCAGTTGGCCACGCATGCTCTAACCCAGGAATTTCGAAAAACATTCCGAAAGAGGCTCTCAGAAATAACGGATTCGGAAATAATCAATGTATTGAGTGCACAACACCTTTATAATATATGGAGCAATCGAACTATCCTAGTCTAATATATGGAGATTTTTTTACTCTATTACCATTACGCAAACAGAACGTAAACAAAACTTCATAAATATTTAAAGGCAAATTTCCTACAAAACAACATAAATATAGCGAGATTAGTGGCTGTATTTCAAAGTGCCTTAATTTTCACTCTTCCAAAAATAGAAGGACAGACCTATTAACTCAAGTGGTTCCTCTGTAACTTCTCCAGAATATGAACAATATTTTATGCACAAAATTAACAGTTTCATTGCCACTGCTAACACGATGAAGGACTGTTGCCCGAAACGTCGTTTTCTTGTTTTATTAATAAAGTTATTTTAATTTGGCGAGTGTTTACCACTACTTTATATTCTATTTTGCATTTCAATATTTTATACACTCTAAGATATGAGCACTAACATGAAATCAAATATGGCTTGTAACAATACATATAACATTAACTGTTTTCTGCTGTATTATTTGATATCAGCCATTTGTTAGTAATTCGTTGTGTAAGAACTTGGAAAGGGTTTTTCAAAGATTTTTAATTCATCCATAATTGAGCGCTTTTTGACAAATGGAAGAGATCGGTGAGTGTTTTGGATTTTCTTTTAGTAATGATAAGCTTGTTGCAAATTTAAAAATTTGCAAACCTGTTGAAACTGGCTTTGAATTCTTGGTCGTACAATCGAATTACATCCAATCCACTTAATCCTTTCCTCCGCGTCTACGGATTTACACCGCTAAAATCAGGGATTTTTAATAAAGTGCCTAGTTAGTGTATCGTTAAATTAAGCAGGACAAAAGGCCGGGTACTAATTTTATGGTAATTATTGATAACCTTAGTAGATTAAGTGTCAAGGAACCTACTTGAGGTTACAAAGTATAATTTTGAGGAATTTAAATTCGTGTTATGGCAACTTTCAAATCTCTTTGAATGCTTCCCTTTAAGAGTTGATGTATCAAAATTAATTTTACTTAAAAAGAAGAAATTTAACGAGCAATCATACATCCCGAAGAACGTTTAATTAACTGAAATTCATGTTATTCACATACGTTACTGATCAGGTTCTTCAGAATGAGCTTCATCAGTGGAAGCCTGCAGTGGAAAGTTTAAGTCGATTAGCTGATAAACTGGCGAGTGACAATCCTCATGATGACATGTCACGACTACAAGATGTAGCAGATGAAGTTTATCAAAGATATGCAGAACTATCTTCCCGGTTAGTGTACTAGCTGGCTTTTATTTATCTAAACAATATATGTATGTGTAAATGAAATTAAGATATTTCCGTTTTTTCAAATTTGACAACAAAATTCATTTTTGTTCACATTAAAACATACTTTGTTAGTCTGAAGTGTCAGTATTCAATGAATACTTTAGGATAATGTGTTTGTGGTTCAGCTGACAATGTCACATCTGGTGTGTGGGGGTGACCAATATTTTATACACAAAATAAACAGTTTCAGCAAGTGATTCTTCTGGGACTTCTCCAGAATATGACCAATATTTTATACACAAAATAAACAGTTTCAGTTCCTCTGGGACTTGTCCAGAATATCACTTG